ATACATATAAAGCTTGTTAACACTCGAGTATTTATACAATAATATACAGAATACTCAACATAACACCGTACAATTGACTCTATGTTTCACGACAAATTCTAAGTTCCAGTTGCCACATTTTATACACGTATAAAGCTTGTTAACACTCGAGTATTTATACAATAATATACAGAATACTCAACATAACACCGTACAATTGACTCTATGTTTCACGACAAATTCTAAGTTCCAGTTGCCACATTTTATACACGTATAAAGCTTGTTAACACTCGAGTATTTATACAATAATATACAGAATACTCAACATAACACCGTACAATTGACTCTATGTTTCACGACAAATTCTAAGTTCCAGTTGCCACATTTTATACACGTATAAAGCTTGTTAACACTCGAGTATTTATACAATAATATACAGAATACTCAACATAACACCGTACAATTGACTCTATGTTTCACGACAAATTCTAAGTTCCAGTTGCCACATTTTATACACGTATAAAGCTTGTTAACACTCGAGTATTTATACAATAATATACAGAATACTCAACATAACACCGTACAATTTACTCTATGTTTCACGACAAATTCTAAGTTCCAGTTGCCACATTTTATACACGTATAAAGCTTGTTAACACTCGAGTATTTATACAATAATATACAGAATACTCAACATAACACCGTACAATTGACTCTATGTTTCACGACAAATTCTAAGTTCCAGTTGCCCCACATTTTATACACGTATAAAGCTTGTTAACACTCGAGTATTTATACAATAATATACAGCATACTCAACATAACACCGTACAATTGACTCTATATAGAGACAAAATTACCAAATATTGGTTGGGTTCTCTTCAGATAATCGTAAAGATAATTCTTAATTCTTGCTTATGCTATCGCATGCTTAAATCTTGCAAATATTTCATATGCTCAGAACAAGTAGCTGCAGCATGCAGGTTCAGTATAAGCATAATAAACTTCGTCTGTGTAAGCGTTTTTGCTAAGAAAACGCTCAGAAGACAATTTGAATTCTATATTTGTTTCTCAACTATAGTGAAATGAAATAATTTGAAAAATAGAGTGCCAAAATTTATTAAATGAGAGCTCAGTAATGGCAGCCGAGTAATAGCAGGCTTGAATACAAAAAAACCTGGATTATGATGGAATTTTCCGCTAAAATTTAGAGAGTATGCTTAATCAACTCTTCATTTTATAAATTGTAATAAAATGTTGACTCAATTTCTCGTCACAGTGTCACTTTAACTGCTCCTAGCAAAATAGGTGATTTGAATGTCATGTCATGGCGCCATGTTGGCGGTCAAGTAAAAAAAAACACTTTATCTACTAATGTGTCCACCCCTTAAAAAAACCAAAAAACACTAACGATATTCTTACACCCATATTTATGAACACTTAGGTTTTCGTAAGCACTTTATCTTTATCTTCCTTTTACATCGCGCACTCTAAGGACAATGTGCCCAACAAACAAAAATCCATTCTATTTTCTACACCTTCCCATCATTAACATAATTTCAGGTAACCTTGACCTTACTCATCTAGCTTTTAATTCTTTTTCGAGATAATGTTTTACCTAATAGAATGTATCCATTTTCGAAGACACTATGTAGTTTCTTGGGGGAAGATCTGTGTTTTGTTAAACAGTCTGAAGCTGCTTATTAGACTCCACACATTCAACATCTATAATTAGCATGCTATCCAAACGTTATTTAATAGCTGACAGTTCCAGGTGCATTCAATTCGAAGAAGTGCAATCAAGAAGTGGGTGACTCATATCTACACTAATCCGAAATACACAATTGTTATGTACAAATTACCTCTGCATGCACAATACGATGGCGTATGAACCAGACAACAAATACGGCAAACTTGACTTTTACTCCTCACTTGATTCTAAAGATGACTACGGCGCTAACGCTGTCGAAACGACACTAACAGTCCTCCTCAAGACTCTTCTAACATGGACGATCTACATCTAAAAAACATCTAAGTATACTCCCACGCTCAAACCATTCACTGTAAAAAAAGGACTTGAAATTTATCACTTATAAAAATTTCACATGCAAAGGCAGAATTTCTGCGTCATCCATATTGTAAATACTTGTTTAAGAGTTATAATAAGCGTTCAATAAATTTTATCGACATTTGTTTTGTGCTATTGACTTTCATTTAATGTAGTACATAATAAGGTGTTGTCATTGAATATGCCTTCATTTTTTGCCTAAATTATTGGCAAGTGCTGCATTGAGGTATCTATATTTTAGCGTTCGTTATTCTGGGGAGAAACACTAGTGGTCGGATCGCCTTTATAATATAGCTATTACATGCAAGCTTTTGATAGGTTAAACTCGAATTATCATAAGCAATGGCTAGTGAAGCAGAAAAATAATTGACACCATACTTCCCACTCTATCTTTCATTAAAAAACAGACACTGATTAAGGCAATGTCATGTCTTGAGCGGCTTTCGCGAAAATTTTTGGTTTTGAAAGCAATTCTGAGATATAGACAAATTATGGCCTTGTGAGGCGACAGTGCTTTGTTTCGCATCGAGAAATTCGTATGGGTCATTGACGGAAACAAAAAATTTAGGAGGTATCAGTTGACAAACTGTACGACAAGGTGGAAAGAGAGAAAGGCTGACGATCTCGGTGTTTTTCTTTATTCCAAAACCAGTCTCCAATACCACACAAATTTATATGGATGCCTAAGAAACCTATGATGGACAATTTATTTTAAGACTTTTGAAGAAGATGATGATTGATTGGCAAGTTGAGCTTGTTAAGTCATTTGCTGTGTCCAATAAATATGTAAAAATACTTACGCCGGTAGTTTGTATTCAATAAGAACTATCGTCATGTTTAATCAAACAATCAAATCAACTTCACAACAAAGTTTTTGAAATCGAAATATCTTCGGAATAAATTCACCTAAGCTCAAAAAATTACGTCTGCAATGAAGCATGCAGGATACGGCCGATCCAGAATCGTAAAGATTATAGGATTTACTTTATGCCTTACTCAGTTTATCTCTGTTTCGTTTTCAACGTTCTCATGAACACAACCTTGGAAATATTGTCTTACATTACCTAAGAAAATATGGAACATTGCCTCTGGATAGTGATATTCGAGAGAAAATTGGGATCTTACGTTTTTAGGTCTTTCAAGGTTTGTACTTCTGAAGTCATCAAAACACCGTCGTCACACACAGTGATGTACAGCGATTGAACATAATGAACTATCCTATTGATGCAACCATTTGAATTGTACACCATTAACATGTCTCGTTCTGTTACCGGAATCTAATTACCGGAATTGTGTTACTAGAAAGTACGTACTTCATACACAATTGTCTCTCTGGTATTACACTTATCTTAATTGAACATTGCTCTCTGGTGTTAAATTCTAAAAATTGAAGTATGGAAGTTTGCTATCGTTTTCCTTCTCTTCGGTGAGATATTATTGGGATAAAGTAAATGGTTTGAGCCCGGGAGTATCACTACATGTTTGTAAATGTAGATCGTCCAGGTTGGTATGGTTCTGAGAAGGACTGTTTTTGTTGTTGTTGAATGACGTTTCGACAACTTTAGCGGTAGTCATCTTCAGAGTCATTTTTTAACAACCTTAACGGTAGTCATCTTCAGGGTCAGAGTCTTTTGACTCTGAAGATGACTACCGCTAAGGTTGTCGAAACGTCAGTCAACAACAACAAAAACAGTCCTTCTCAGGACTATACCAACCTGGATGATCTACATTTACAAACATATTATTGGGATGTTGATGGTTTACGTAATCAAAGCAGAAAGAGCTAAAAATTAGATAATCAAATTATCTAATTAAATAAAGATAAACAAATTATCTAATTTCAGCTCTTTCTGCTTTGATTACGTAAACCATCAACATCCCAATATCTCACCACAGAGAAGGAAAACGATAGCAGATTTCCATTTTTAGACCTTGACATCTGCCTTTTGATTAGCAACAACTACAACTGTCTATGGTAAACCTACATTCGCCAAACATTTTACAAACTTTCACAACTTTATCCCACTTCTCCACTAACTTAACTAATCTGTTGACTCCTACCCGCATCTTTACCTTACTATTTAGTTTCAGTCATAAGATTTCAGTTTCATTGATTAGTATGTACTTGCGAACAACCTGAGCTGTTATCGAATAACAAATTTGCTCACTTGGGCAAACGGAAATAAAATTAATAGGCCAAAAGCAATCAAGCTTGAAAATTAGTCATGTCGTGCAGACGTGTTTTTGCAGTTGTGCTTCAATTGACTATTATCAGCGTTTTGCTTGGCCAATTTACTTCAATTACGCCTGAATTCGATCGCTCTACAGTCAAATTCTTCATTGGGAAGGAAATATCTGCTCCACCTACGTTCGACTGTAAGTCAAAGCCTTCGAAATGCACACCTTGCGATTTGAATTTGAAGCTGCAGGCGTTGTTGCGGTTCGTCAAACTTGGCCAATTTTGTCCGTGTATTCTTCTATCTGGCGATATTGCCGTCAATCCAGGACCTAATAACCTTCAACCTCCTGTAGGCTTCAGAGGCTTATCAGTCTGCCATTGGAACATCCAAAGACTGACTGACACCAAATTGGAAGAACTATCTCTTATGCTCACCTCGAACAACAACAGTGCTGCTAAACTCGACGTCTTAATTCTCACTGAGACATTCGGATCTAGTAAAATTCCAGACAGCTATTACACGATACCCGGCTACACATTACACAGAAAAGATCAAATCGGGAAGAAACGTGGCGGCATAATTGCGTATGTAAATGAGAAAGATATGGCTTCACGTCGAAGAGATTTGGAACTGGATGATCTTGAAACTTTCTGGCTTCAAATTTGTCCTCATAAATGAAAGAGACCGATTTTGATATCTGGTGTTTACCGTCCACCTTCAGCCAAAAAAGATTATAATGAGAGTTTGGGTAAAAAATATTGAAAACGCCCATCTCCAAAACAATGAATTGATTATTCTGGGAGACTTCAATTTAGATTATATTGATTTCAACTGTTATAAGAAACATTGTCTAACAAAGGCACTGAACAGTCTTGGATTAACGCAGATGGTAAATAGAGTAACAAGACCTGCCTCTGATGCGTGCTTAGACCATATTTATTCTAGTCATCCTGTAAAAATTAGAGAAGTAGCCATAGGTAAATCTGGACTTTCCGATCACCTTCCGGTCACCATCTTGAGGTGCTACAAAACCATAGATGCACAACGTAAACAACATTCCAAAATCAAATACAGAAATATCGACAAAATCAACAAATAGTCCTTTCTGTGAGACTTAAGAGAAGCCCCTTGGGATATCTCCTTTGTTTTTCGAGATGCCGATAACATTGTTGAATCTTGGTACAAAACCTTTAATGACATTCTTGATAATCACGCACCTTTAAAGTTCAAGAGTGTGAAGAAAATCAATCAGCCAAAATGGTTCACTAATGATCTATACAACGAAATAAATAAACGCGATAATCTTCTAAAGAGGACCAGGAGAACACAAAATGAACTAGATTGGTCTGCTTTTAAACTGATTAAAAACAAAGTGACGAGGAAACTAAGAAATGCGAAGGAACAGCACTTTAAAACTCAATTCAGTAAAAGTCAAAAATGTCCAAAGAAACTTTGGTCTTTAATTAAAGACCTATCTAAAGATACAAGGAATAATGACGACTCCGTCCTTATTGCTGACGAAAACAACAACCTGATAAAGGATGACCATTCAATCGCTGAACGCTTTAACCGCTTCTTCGCTGATGTATATAAACGTCTTATAAAAGCGGCACCTATACTTCATTATGATGCTCTTCCTGGTCCACCAGACAAATCTAACAGTCAAATTGAGAACCTTATTCCGCAAATAACTACTAGTGAGGTTAACGATTATACCTACACACAAAGCCACGGGAATTGATGGGCTTGGTGCCAGAGTTCTAAGGATTGCAGCTCCTAAAATATCATGCCCCATAGCTAAAATTATAAATCACTGTATTGAAACTTGTACATTTCCCTCACAATGGAAACTAGCAAAGGTTAAACCACTATTCAAGAATAAAGGAAACAAGCAGTTCTATTGATGTACAATATGATAAAATATTATCAACATTGACATGTCAATTGATGTACAATATGATACAACATTATCAACATTGACATGACTATTGATGTACAATATGATACAATATTATCAATATTGACATGTCAATTGATGTACAATATGATACAATATTATCAACATTGACATGACTATTGATGTGCAATATGATACAATATTATCAACATTGACATGTATATTGATGTACAATATGATCAACATTGACATGTCTATTGATGTACAATATGATACAAAAATATTTTGTTCATCGGAACAAAACTTACAGCTTGACTTTCCATTCTCTGAAACACAAGACTTATCATTTGCGTCAGTGTTGCCTTTGCTGTTGTTTGACTAATAAGACTTTTACTGGCAAGGTAAATGTTGTAAACTGTTCTAACTGCTTGAAGTTAAGCTCCTTCATGCATTTCTCAAGTACTTGATGTAAGAGCTGTTAGAAGAGCCTGTAAATATAGATAATAAAAACATACACATTATAAAAATCAGATCATTTTCAACTGTCCACAGTTAACACATAACCTTTTTTAATCTTGTTGGAATCCAATTATTCAATGTGATATTTAAAAAACTCATGGCACAAAAAATGTAAAAAAACATAGGGATACATATGTCATTACCCTCTTTAAATTCCTTAAGGATAAATCATTTCTCTCATTAAATACTTTAACAGTTTTACATTACTTTTTATAAATACCTTTATAATTTGTATTTGAACGTTTACATCAGTATTTATACCTGTAAAGCAAGAACAAATAGTCTCGATAACTCTGTCATTTAAACGCCTCTCTGGTTCAATGGAGTCTGGTGTATCGCCAACAATTTGACCATAAGCAATGAGTTTCTAAGAACAAAGAATGTTTGAAATACTCCAATTTATAGAAGCAAAATACATGACCTATATTTGTGAAGGAATACAAAATGGTGGTGAAAAGACACATGTGAAGTTGTGAGGCTTTGGGGATGAGTACTGTTGATACATAAGAATAACAATATTAACACTTTTTAAAAGAAATTTATGAAGTAACAAACAAAAGAAAATACTGCAGGAACTTATTTTATGCTATCAAATTGTAATAACTTAATAACAATGCAATGAAAGAGTTTATAATATTAAATCTATTTCTTACAACTAAAGACTCCAAGTGTCCTAACACATCAAACAAAAACAACTTACTTGTATACAGTCAAGTGCAATGGTGACAATCCTGGCACATTTTGTTTGACAAACTAACTCAATAGGAAGAAAATATTGATCTGCTGTAATGAAAGTTTGCTGACCAGGTAGTGGAGGTAGAGTTGCAGAAGAAACATTCCTGAAGATTTTATTATAAATAAATCAAACCAACATTCTAGTTTATAAATCTAACTTTTGAACAATAAAACTTAGTAAATTTGTGCGCATGCGTAGTCTGGATATAACTGTGAATTTGATTCAAGGTTAATAACTCATTTTGGTCATGTTAAAATTGGAAAATTGGAAAGAAAATTGGACAACTTTACATAGTTAAACTTACCCTGTAGATTTTTCATTTCCTTGAACAGCGTTTATTTCCTCTAGAATAGATCAAAATCATAAAGCGATCATTTTGTAAAGCAACATTCCTGAACACAGCAGTACATTATGTTCATTGCACATGTTGACATAGATTTCTCCATAAACATATATACATATAACTCAAGCAGAAGAACATGAACAAGCGATTGAAACTAAAAAATAACTGTTTGCCACGTATAAAAAAGTACAAATCATACACTGAGCAATTTTAAAGATACTATCGACCCAGGTTTGAAAGTAGTCTTCTGCACACCGGAGATTTTTTTTAATAATATTATTGCACACCAGGCATATTTGGGCGTGGCAAAATTCCGCCATATTTGTGGGCGTGGCTGGGTAGTTCGATGATGCATGCGGTGCTGAGTATTCCTGAAATAACGCAGTAGTTAACATTGTTTAAGCTCTTGCGTGTTTGTTGAATAGTTTACAATGGCAACAAGCATTTACAATTACAGTGTACATTTACAGTGTACAGATAAAGTAAAAACTAAAAGATAAAATATCGCATTTAAAACTATAAATCCTTGAGTGAGTTCAACTCCGTCATAGTTCACCAAAATCATTTTCATGCAAAACATGTGGACATCGAGGAGGCTCATGCCTCACTCTATCCACAACTTTGCTCACTTCAAAATTTGAAGCTCTGTCTTCGTTAAAATATGGTAGCCGATGCTTTGGTAGCTTATAGTCTTCATCATCGTTTGTATAAATTTCTGCAATGGCTCTCATGGTACGAGGACATGAAACGGGATGGGGAACGCACCAATCTACTATAGATGTATGAACCAAAACCTCATTAGATTGGCCTCCAGTTTTCTTGTGAGTACCCATAAGACTATAAAATCCTTCTACTATAGCCTCACAACCACTTGTGGAAAGAGCTACGTCAAGGGCAATTCACATTTCTCGGCCAATTGACTTTATTATATCTTCATTTGTGTACATGCTGGTGTACACAAATTCTTCGTTGATCCTTGCTTTCACTGCCTCCCGAAGAAAATTTCAGAGTAAACCACAAATCTAGTGCAGGATCCTCAATGCATTTAAGGAAATTAGCTGCTCCTTTTCAAATTCTGTCACTGGTTGGTCCTTTTCATCGATGAACATATACGAACGACAATTACCAAGACCTTCCCAGACCATTCTCATCACAGTTTCTTGAAATTGCTCCAAGAAACTATCACTGTTATGCGGCAACAGTTTCAGTAATGGTTGGTCGTCTAGTAGCTGCATGACATGAGGCAATTGGCAAACATTCCTAAAACATGAAGATGTAGAAAGATTAGGTAAGAGTGTCATGTGATAAAGATATTACACATAGTAATGCCAAGATTAATATTCCCAAAATATACTTGAAAAAATCGGCAAACTCCCTTTTCCCGTGAAGATCCCAAAGATGTCTTCCAGCCCTGCTGACTTTGATCCGCCCATTCGCGTGAGAAAAATGATAAAGAAGCTTTATTAGTCCCTCAATGTCAAACACAGCTTCTAACTTAGTGATGTTGTCGATCTTAATGTTTTTGTAGCGGGATGCCAGACACATTGGATTATCTTCTGTGAGTTGATAAAGACCATCTAGGCAATCATTTGGTGATCGTGCCTCCCAAGAAATAGTCTTTTCTTATGTTGTTTCCCAGTCTTGTCTGTAGACGGTCCTTCCACGAGTTGCTCACTGTCATTGACTACGAGCCATCCTTCGTAGACTTGTATTCCTTGAAACAAACATTCTTCAACTTCTTTTGTTAATTCTTGCCAATGTTTTGCAAGTCTTGGCAACAACTTTTCAGCTGGTTTTACAACATCTCCGTCCTTAAGTCGCTTTAATTCTATCCTGATATCCTCCAAGATATCAATGACTATCGGAAACCAAGCAACAACTTTCCAGGGAGGCACGTTTAAGCTCTGACATTTGATCATTAACGAAACAACTGGTTGAAACACATCAATTATTCCACATAGATCTATGGCAAAATCTTGACCTCTGAGTTGTTTTTTTGTCTCCTAACAATCATCCTTTTTATCTTCTCGATTTGCACTGTATGTCGTAAATAAAGCGGGATAACTATTGTAAGTTTTCTTCCATTGATCGAAAGCAGAACTGGAAAATCGCGTGGTTGCATATGCAGTGGCGTAGCTTGCGGCTGGTCGGGCCCAGCCCGACCAAATATTTTCCCAAAAATGAAAAATTTGTTTTCTTTAAAATTGGATTTGCGAAAATTTTAAATTCTGCGACTCTTTTTGGAATAATCCACAGTCTATTAGTGTAATATTTGTCAAATTGCGTCGTTATTAGCAAAATTATCATATTTTTAAACGTTACTTAGCAACAATGACTAGTGCATTTCTAGTGCCAGGCAATACGCAGTTTAGTCGGGCTCTGAAAATTCAGCCTGACCAAGTTGTAAAATCTATAGTGGGTTTATCTGCAATCTGATTGGTTGACAGCAACCGAGCAAACTCAAATCAGTGAACTCCATATATATATATATCTGGAATGATAACGACAATACATTTTATAGATATAAAATTGAAGCCAAAGTCCTAGTCTCTTGCGCGGTTTGTACGTCAGTTCCAGTCCTTCAAAGTCGAATATTCACGCGGTTTGTACGTCAGTTTCATTCCCCTGAGTGCCAAACATACACGGCCAATATAAATTTGAATACAAATTGCAAAAGCATAAACATATAAACAACATCACGACAAACAACACACGAGGCCAACTCCTCGAAAAAGGTTATTTTTTACAGCTGAAACTTTACTACAGTGAGTTCGTTGTAACTTACAATTTGTTACGAGGAAAAGCCAACTGAAAATTACACTGTATGCTAAAAAGACAATACAATAAGACAATATGACGAGAAAATATTCAAGCAAAAACTTTTCTTTCGTCCGAAGGTAAATTTTCAAACGGTGTCAGACAGTGTTTGTCTTTTGTGTCATTTAAGTGGATTTAAAGATCTGTTTTTCCGAAGAAAAAAGAAACTTGAATATCCAGTTTCATAAAAAATATTGAGTCTATAACTCGCATTTTTACTTTTTACAAAGCGATTGTCATTTTCATCGATTTTGATAATGTTTCAAGTACTAAATTGTTGTCATCTCGATATCATTAATTGAATATCCTTAAAGACTTCGATATATTTTAAAGGAAAACTGCAGCGTAATAGCAGATCGGCTAAGTTCACCTGACCTTGCTTTTCGATTTATCACTTTGATTCACTTTCCGTGAACCTTATCATTTCAAAAATTTCGTTATGTTTACGCTCTGATAAAGATCCGAACTCTACCATTACCAAGGGACAAATGATTTTAAAAAATTTAAATGAACACGCGAGAGACTAGAGCCTGACGTGTGATGACGAATGATGACGACAAATATTTTTTTGGCTTCAATTTTTGGCTTCGGTTATCATTCCAGTTATTCAAATATCGAGTTCACTGACTCAAATGCGCTGTTTCGCAACATCTAGTCGGGCTCATTGAGTTCTATAATAACTAGAGCGGCTATCTCAAGCGCGGCTTTAGATATCTGATGACGCCAAAAAAATGGCGGATTTCGTCCTTTGCCGCTGAGATTTACCGAAATTGACCGCTTTTCCGAAAATTTCACAATTTCCCACTCCCTCCTGAGGAAAGAGCGAAGAAAATGTATGTGTGTATTTGGGATTCGGCAAGCAATTTTTTGATGAAAATGAAGGTAAAAACCTTAAATTCATAACAGCGAGTGAACTGTGGTTGTCAGTTATCTGCTCCTACGAGGATGCATTTATAACTATCGACGAAAGGCCTATATGTTGGCTACACATGTATGAATGCAGATGTGCGTCGTTTTCTTACCAGCGTCAAACTTGTTTGATCGATTAAACTCTTTAGTCTATACAAAAAAAGTATATCATAGTTCATCTCCACGGTTCACTAGAGAGAAGTTAGCTTATTTGTTATCATTGCTATTTTGCTTTTTTTCATGCAATGGACAATGGCTTTTTTCGCGACAATTGTAGGATTTTTACTTGTTTCTTTAAAAAAGTACATATTAAATCTGGATATTTACGGATTTTCTATAATTGAGTTTCATATGAAATTTCAAAAAGACTCAAGTCTGCATAGGTTTGGTAAATGAAAACAAACAATATTGTATAGAAATTACTTTAAGTAACCTTTTTGTGATGTCTGAAGTGCAACTGCATCAAATACTTGTAAAGTTGTAGCACATTTTGATTTTGTTGTATTGATATATGAATTGGGCAAAATGCAAATAATCATCAAAACACTTATGCTTCCAATGGTGTTTATAATTCATTTGTAGTTTTAATACTTCTACCTTTCTTTTTCACTTTGTTTTGTTTTTCCTATATTTGCAAATAAAAGTGCACTATAATTTGAATGATTAACACAGTTTTCACCTCAATAATAAATTTCATAAGCAGTTGGTAGTGCATTTTGTAGATATGCCATAGCAAGACAATATAACCAAATGTATTAAATACCTATAGTGTACTTTTATGCTAGAAGCTTAAAAGCTTTTTAGAAATAAGAAAGTTATTGGATTATATTACCTCTATATCATCAATCTCATGATAAGAAATAAGAAGCAAAAAATTTGTAGAAAAGCTTTGAAAAGTGAAAAACTTTTCTTTAAAAAAGCAGCAATTTTGCATATGATATATCTCCATTCTGTATTCTAATAGGTAAATAAGCTCAAATTTTTCTTAAAGAAATATAAGAAATATATAAGAAATATACAGTACAGTAACTATAAAGTTTTCATCACTGAATCTTTAATGCTTCAGTATAGTGCATTAGATATTAGTAACATTCAAACAACACTCAACTAAAATATTTTGATAAAGATATGACATGATTTAAACATTAAGTTACATAAAACCCAATGGCTTATACAGTTTGAAGCTTCACACCTGCATCGAGTCATCATCAATCTCAGTACAAATGTTTACATAGACACAAACTTTATGGCCTTCCATTTTACATGTTTGTGAATTGACATTTCATTAAGCATCAAAACACACAAAACCTTCTTGCCATCTTTCTTTGGATCATGAACTTTAACCTTAAAGCATTCAAGGCATCCTTAGTGAATCCATTGTCTCCATCCATAGAATTTGACCACGATCAAATTAAATAACTCTGGATAGGGCAGACAATAAATCAATTATCTTTACAGCATTATCATTTTTTAAGACTCTGCCTGGTCAATAACATCTTCCAGTCATCTTTACTCCTTGATCTTCCCTGCATGTTGTCAGCAAATAGAACATAACAAGCTCTGCTCCAAATCATGGGTACCGTTGGGGCTGATTATTTCCTTTTGATACTTACAGAGTAAAATGTGTGCAGGGTCTTTTTTGCTTTAGGGAAACTATTTTGCAAATAAATGGGTAAATTTACAATTTCATGCATTAACAAATGACAGAAAAGTATGCAGAATTTTATAAACAAAAACAGGAAAACATCAGTATATTTGGCGTTCAAGTCAGTCTTAAAAAATACGATCTTTAATATGTATTTTATGGCTTTTCAAGTGCATGTATAATTGCTTTTCAATCGTTGACGGACTAACAAAACAAACAACTACCTCACCTGTGAGAAGCGATATGTTCTTTTTTGTGGAAACTAAGACATCAACAAATGAGCGATTAAAGTGTTGGCATTATAAAAGAAATGCCAAAAAAGAATCGTCACAGAATATGGAACTAACGATATCCATATTCTGTGATATCGTGTTTGTTTTTGAAAAATTCTTTATAATTTACTATAGACACCAGGGGGAGGTCGAGAATATTATTTTTCTGCAAAGCGATCATTTCAGCGGAAATACGTCCTTTGGCCGCCATTTTTTTGGCGTCCTCGCCCCAGTAAAGATAGCCGCTCCAGTTATTATAGAACTCAATGGTCGGGCTCTGAAAATTCAGCCCGACCAAGTAGTAAAATCTATAGTGGGAATATCTGTAATCTGATTGGTTGAGAGTAGCTGTAAACACACTCAAACGTTTAACAACATCTAGTCGGGCTCATTTTCAAAAGCGTGACTTGAATTTTGAGCTTTCGAATATACGTTCGGAAATCGTGATAACTTACATTACAATGGCTTCGGATAATGAAATCGATATAATAAGTGAACTACAAAAGAAACCATTTTCTGTTCGACAATCAGGCAAGCGAAATATACTCGTAAAGCAGCGGCCAATTCCAAATTTACAAGCGACTACAGGCAATAGAAGCTTTCAGGAAAGTTGGTACTCGAAGAAAGATTGGCTTTGTGGTAGCTCAGAAAAGAATGCATTGTTCTGTTGGCCTTGTCTTTTGTTTTGCCCTGGATCGTCATCTTCATGGACGCAGACGGGATTCAAAAACATGAAGAATTTCCTATCCGATTGTAAGAAGCATGAGAAGGCAAAATCACACATGGGTGCTTACAAGACCTGGAGGACCTACGGTTTTCAGCCTCGTATCGACTGTCTCATGTCACAAGCCAGACGTGAAGAGATTCAGCGTCATAACGAGGAGGTAAGGCAAAACAGGGAAATGTTGAAAACCATAACAGAAGCTGTTTTATACTTGTCTGTCTAGGCAAGAGCTTGCATTTAGGGGGCATGATGAATCTAGTGGAAGCTTGAATAGAGGAAATTATAGAGAGCTACTTGAAAGTTTTGCCAAGATGGATTCTGTTTTTGAAAGGCGATTACATGGCAGGCTTGCTGAAACCCACCTTGCTGGGGGAGGGCGGTTTACTGGAGTCTCTCCTGATATTCAGAATGATTTGATTGATTGTCTTGATAAGATAATAGAGGATGAGATTTTAAAGGAAATAGATTGCTGCACTTTCTTAAGTATACAGGTTGATGAGGCAACTGATGTTTCTACCAAAGAACAATTGAGTGTAATTGTTCGAATGGACAAAGGGGAAAGTGTCATTGAAAGACAGCTTGGGTTTGTTGATGTTAGTTGTGATAGGACTGCAACTGCTATATCATCAGTGGTTAAGGGTAAGTTAAGTCAATATAATAATGTGAAAGAAATTTATTGGACAGACTTATGATGGTGCATCTGTTATGTCTGGTCATCTCAATGGTGTTCAAGCTCAAGTTCAGCAGGATTATCCTTATGCTCAATTTGTTCACTGTGTTGCCCATAGACTAAATCTAGTATTATGTCCAGCTGCATCCTCCATTTCACCTGTTAAGATTTTCTTTGTTAATATTAGTGCTTTCTGCACCTTTACTAGCAATTCCCCCAAAAGAAAAGCTTTACTATCATCCCATAGGCTTGAGTTTCCTAGTCCTGGTGACACAAGATGGTATTATAGGGCTCATGTCATCAATGTCTTGCATTCTAACTATGAGAAACTGATAGACATATTTGAAAATCTTACTGATAATCCAATAGGTTGGGATGATGAAACGTTAAGTAAGGTTACTGGTTTACTTGGCTACCTTAATGGCTTCTTGTTTTGTTTCTTGGTACTTGTTTTCCATAGAATTCTTGAGCAGTCATCCATACTTTATTCTATCTTGCAAGACAAGGACACTGACTTTCATTATGGAGTGAGTAGGGTTGAGAGATTCAAGGCCTTTGTTGCTTCTCTGAGAAATGATACAGAATATTGTCAGGTGTACGACCTGGCTGTTGAGAAAGTGGGACCACCAGTAACCAGGTATGACCAACGGCATAATTACAAACAAATGTATTTTGAAATTCTTGACACAATTGTGACTATGCTGACTGAGCGATTTCAGGATATGGAGCGTTTTAGATTTTTAGACCTTGTTAACCCTAGGGTGTTTAAAATGTGGAAAGGTGAAGTGCCCTCAGAAAAGATAAATCTTCTAAAGGAGGTTTATGGTGATGTGTTTGACATACCAATGCTAGTTAGCCAACTTTGTTTTATTTACAGAGATAAAGACTTTCACCGTGATTCATGCGATGAACTATTGAAATATATTTTTCAGTTCCATCTTCAATCTAGTATTCCAGAAGTTGTAAAACTGTTAAAGATAAATGGTTTTTTTTTGTCAATTACAAGTGCTTCAGTTGAGAGGTCATTTTCTTGTTTGAAGAGGGTAAAAAATTATCTTAGAAATATTATGAGCCAAGGACGTTTTAGTTCTCTTTGCAGGATTTCCATTCACAAAGACATACTGTCAGAGAAAGAAGACGCCAACACATTGCATGATGAGGTAGTAAAGAAGTTCATTGAAAAACCACGAAGACTTGCTTTCTTATACAAATAGGTATTCATATATGGCTGATAGCAAGCTGATGATGTCTTACGTCCATGGCATGTGAGAAGTTTTCCGGGAACTTTTTAATGCAGGCAATGATGATTGTCATTTCAGCACGGCAATGAACGGCATCACAACTTTTGATAGTTGTTGAAGACAAATCTCAGCCTTTTTCGGTTCTTTTGTCAAAGTTTCTTTACAAGATGTACATAGGTATCTATTTATGTATGTGGTGTTGAGAAAATAAATCACATATCTGCAACTACTTTTGAACTATTTCTCTGCTTTACTATAAGATCCTTCGGCAATTTAAATTAACCAAAATGGTTCTATTTCCTGCATAAATATCACGCATTTGCTTTCTAAGATAGCCGTTTCCGACGTTCTAGGGAGTCTAAATTCGGAAAATTTTCTCTAGCTACGCCACTGATGTTACAGTGTTGTATTCTCCAAATATAAATTTGAAAGTTGACGGGAATCATAGGATGATAAAGATCTTTACTTGACATTACAAAAAACTAATCCCTCTCTCTCTGTCAGTGATATTTTTACATAATTAAAAACTGACAGTTTTTCCACGGTTAAAACAAAGGATATGGACAATTTTTTCTATAATATTTTTGAGTTCGTTGTTGATACCATAAATAACTGTCCTTTTGTGATATAAAGAACTTTTTATGTTCGTTTTAAGTGATATGTAATGTTAGTAAATACAATAGATTAATATAACTACAAAGATTGAATTAATTGATTCATTAAGGGGGTATTTACATGAATCCGGAATGACTTTCAATCCCGATCGAAACGTGATGTCAATCCGTGTTTACATGAAACTAATTGTTGTTTTTCTTCGCACTCATTTTAACCCATTTAGCCTCTTTATTTGCTTACGAGCTTCAATTTGCCAGACAACAATACCCATGGCACATGCGTGCTTCGTCATTAATCACAATATCATTCCAGAATGAAACTTAATTCGCGTTTACATGAGATAAAAAGTAAATTTCGATCCGGAATGAAATTTCGATCCGGAATGAAACTAGGAATGAACTCGATCCGGATCGAGTTGTGACTCATTCCGGATTCATGTAAACATGCAATAGGATTTCTTTTAAAGTGGAATGAGTTCGTTCCGGATCGAAACTCATTCCGGATTCATGTAAACACCCCTTAAGATATTGAGTCTTAAAAATTGAATTCCGTATCCGTTATCTAGTACTAAAGCTAAAGTTCCTGTGTTGGAATGAATAGTTATATTAAATTTAGAATGAAATCCGTAAAATTCAGCACATATTTCACCATCACATAATTCTGCAGCAAACAATCTGTAATCATCTTCACCAATGTAATATGATTTATGTATAATTGTGATAGACGAATAGATTCTATCAATAGTATGCAAAATCCCACTCACGTCATTGTTTTCATGCACCTTAATTACATAAATGCCAGTTAAGTCACGCAAATAGTCGTAATCATTTATGCTGTAATCGTCGTCTATATTTTGAAAGCGAAGGTCGCCTCTAAAAGAGATAACAATGACCGCTTGTTTACTATCACTTATACCGCAGTTGATCTCTAGATCATTTTCAGTTATCCTTTCCACATCAATTTCTTCAATGAGAGCTGTTATGGGTATTTCTGCAGTATGCCAAGATTCCAAGTAAAATTCATTGCTGTTATTTCCCCATTTCCATAATGTGTATTCTTTTTCCTTTACAGTTAAAATAGCAGAATTATCAGGGAATACAGCTGCTGTTTCCAATTCAAAACTGTCGACAGGAAGTCTTTTGTTGTATTGTATCTCACCCTTGGTAATTCTAACAACTTGAACAAAACCTTTATAGTCTTTACAAACTAAGACATCACCAAATGTTAAGATTTCCATAGGTTTAAATCCAATGTTAACATATTTTGCTTGAGTAGAATCTACAAAATTTTCAGACGAAGTTGATATCTTCATAAGATGATCAGAACCATCCCATATCCACAGTAAACCATCTGACCACCAACATCCTTCTGCATCCTTCAGTTGCATTGGTACAGTTTGAATAATAGTGCAACGTTCAATGCTCCAAATATGAATGTTGACGTGGTCACCAACAGCAAAAGCAGCAAAAAAAGATCCATCCGGTGAAAAACAACAACATTTAATTTCAAATCTCTCAAAGATTAATGAAGGTCTCCAAAGATGATCAGTTTTGAAAATATTTAGCCCGGAAAAATACGGCACAACGTAAAATTCCTTGAACGAGATGGGATGAACTTTTTCAACAAACCTACGAACACATTGACACTCAACAAATGGTAAATTAAACTTGATTTCGCCTTGATCGCCGTATTTTGAGAACTGAATGATTTTAGAATGCTTTACAACCTGGTTTGTATGATAATAAATACAATCACGATAATGATGGGTTGTCAATGAATATGAGCGTAATGAATAATTCTTCTTACTTATTTCGATTGCCTTTGGGAATTGAAAAACATTCGAAGTCTTGACGAGTTCTGTAACAAAGAACTCTGAACATTTATCGGTGCATTGTAGTTTTTGGTAATCAACAACGCAGCGTCGATCGATTCTTTGCAAAGTTAATGAATTCCATGCAGTGAACACATCTTCAGAATAACTTCTATGTTTTGCTGTAATAAACAAACCAGAATCTAAGAAAGAGCAGTGATTAACGACATCATCTGACTGTAAACATGATAACAAACGTCCATTGTTAACGTCCCACAACTTTACTTTAGTTGATCCATCACTAGTTACCAGTCTATTTCCGGTAGGTGAAAAGGAGCAACAACAGATGTTTCCACGTTCAAAAGAATATGCTATAAATGATGAATGATCATAGATGTCGTACCGACATTTAAATTTGACATACTCGTCCCACTCCTTCAGCCTTGTATCATCAAGTGCAGTGTCAAGAATGCATCTTTCTGTAAATTCTGGAAGTTCAAAAATAGATATTTGACCATTTTCATATCCTACAGCAAGAAGTTCTTCATTGGACGACACACAAAGACATGTAACGTTAGCACACAAGGAGACAGTCAAATGATGATGGTTTGTTAAATATGTTGTGTCTAAATCCTCAAACCAAGAAAACCTTCCTTGTTTCAATAAATCCCTTGCCAATAATCTTCTTTCGTTACTGCCATGAATTCTGTTTGCAAAACTTTGTAAACAAATTAATAAACTATCATCAATCTTATATATCTCATCTCTCTTTGTCATAAACAAATGAAATAGTAGTTCCTCAAGTACATCTTTTCTCAAGAAAGTTCGTATATCCTTAGTGATTTTAAGCAATTCTGACCTAATGGTATTCAAGTCAATGCCTTCCACAAACATAAACCTCGCATAAACCACTTTGACATCTACTGCCCAGCTAAAATCAACATTTTCGCTATATTCTATCATATGGTGGATTCCATTTTTCAAAGCATATTGAATCATAGGAGTGTTCATCTGATGATCTTCAAAAATGTTCAGCGACTTGAATGTAATTTGTTTAAACAGTTTCTCACAAGCATGCCATAAGAACTTATGTCCATTTTTTGGATTAACTGTAAACTCATGCTGTTTGTAACCATCTGATTTCAACCAATCAATTAGGGATTTGTGATACACGGTTAAACAATCATCGTAAACTGGCAAAATTTGAGATAACGGTTCAATGATTTTACTGCGAATTTCAAACTTGATGTCACCAGAAAAACCTAAATAGCTAAACAGTAAAGTTAATGGTAAAAACTCTTGACAGGCAGCCAACAATTCAAGAAATTGCATAAAAGTAGTATCTGAAATAATAGAATTTCTGGGACTTTCCTTCGTTAACAATTCTTTTACTCTTTTGAATTGCTTTTTGTAAACACCGCTTAACCCACTAGGGACCAATTGTTGAATGTTTTCGTAAGTAAGCTCAATATTTTCTTCTTTCAAGCTCAGTTGTGCGTAATACGCATAAAGAAATGATCCCTCACATTTTTCAACTAATGCCTGAGGAAGGTAGCGATCATTCAACTGATGTCTCAAATACTTGTACAGGTCTTTTTCGTTGTTTCCATTACGAGGATGAGTTGTAATTTTCAAAGGATTCATGTCATTTAACTCCTCTTGAACAGGAAGTTCTGGACGACTGGTGATGAAAATTTTAATCCATTTAGGCAGTCGGTGAAACTCTTCTGCAATCAATTCCAACAATTCACTTTTGCCATCAACTTGACTTTCATCTAAAGCATCAATAATCAAAAGCATTGGTTCATGATCTTCCAATGAATGCAATGGATTATTTAATAAAACACGGAATGCATCGGTGACTGATTCGTAGGAATGATTTCTCTGTAATTCTTCATTCAACTTACTTTTAAAATCTGATATTGTATCACACATGCTACTGGCCAATGATTCTATCAACATTCGAGGATTCCTCTCGTCTGATCGATTATACCTGCAGAAATGAGAAGCAGCAAGTTTCTTCTTTTCAGAATATCGTCGACACACCTCAGCAGCAAACACACTTTTACCAACGCCGGGACCAGCAATTAAAATCATGACATTAGAAGCATTTTCACTTTTATCGTTAAACCAAGTGTCGAGTTTTTCAAATAACCATTCTCTAGTGCCTTCAAGGTATTTCTTGTTGAGATCTTTTATAAGACCATTAAAATTACACTTTCCAAGCTTTTGAAGATCTGAGCATATTTTGTCCTGTATCATTTCTTTCACTCTGATTACATCAGCTTTTGTTGCCATATCTTGTTTAATTTCAGCTACATCAGCTTTTGTTGCCGTCTCTTGAGTAATTTCAGCTACATCAGCTTTTGTTGCCATCTCTTGTGTAATTTCAGCTACATCAGCTTTTGTAGCCATCTCTTGTGTAATTTCATCTACATCAGCTTTTGTTGCCATCTCTTGTGTAATTTCAGCTACATCAGCTTTGTTGCCATCTCTTGTGTAATTTCAGCTACATCAGCTTTTGTTGCCATCTCTTGTGTAATTTCAGCTACATCAGCTTTTGTTGCCATCTCTTGTGTAATTTCATCTACATCAGCTTTTGTTGCCATCAGTTGTGTAATTTCAGCTACATCAGCTTTTGTTGCCATCTCTTGTGTAATTTCAGCTACATCAGCTTTTGTTGCCCTCTCTTGTGTAATTTCAGCTACATCACCTTTTGTTGACACAATTTCTTTGATTTCCTCCATGTCATTTTTTATATTTTCCACATCTTCTTTTGTTTTCTCAGCAAAAGTAGACCAGTTTTTTAACATTTCAATATAATTTGCCTCATCGGCAGTGAGTGGAGCTTTCTTTAATTCATCTATTTCAGTTTGTTCAATACCCAGACCAACCAAAGCTTTTGAAATTTTCTGCCACAAGTACTCAAACTCACGGTCATCTACACTAGTTGTAGTTATGTGACCGTACACTTTGTTTCGATAAAACTTTATTCTTGCAATATTTGCTGAGATTGAAGTATCTGAAGAGGAAGGAAGATTGTTCCATCCACCAGATGGTTCCGTTAAGCCACAAACGTTTCGTAACAGGATAGTCAATAATGAAATGTCAAAGTTTTCAATGTCAGGTGAGCCAATTGATGGGTAAAGAAGGTTCCATTGCTCTCTGTTGATGACGTTTCTTTTTCTTAATGATTCCAGTGTACTTTTATTTGAGGGTTTATTAAGCTCATTGCTTAGGTTTGACGAACGAAAATTTATATTAAACTGCAATGTTGTTTTCAAAGCTTGTGTTCCTTTATTTATTAAGAGTTTACTTAAACGAGATCCGTTTGCCTCAATCTTTAACTTTTTAGGAGGTGAAGCCATTTTAAACTAAAAATTAAGAATAAGTTTTTGCAAAAAGCATCAATTTACAATGTGCAAAATTAACACAACATGGAAGGGATTAATAAAAACCAATATTACAAGAAATTTTATAAATAGTAGTCCTCTTTGTACCAATTGTACCAGCTGCGCACGTGGAGTGAAATAGTTGCTTTTGAGAAAGGCCTCGGGGATGTTCTGGCCCGCCAGAAAGTGGTCAAAGACGAGCAGCAGCAAGCGAGTGAACCCCCCCTCTTTTCGAGTCTGGAGAGAAGGCGCGATTGTAGTGACCGCCAGGAGTTGGTTTTTCAAACGGACATCAGCGACGCTGTCGCGAACTTGGCCTGTATCTTCAAAATAGTTCAGCAACCTGGATTTGACTGCGCTCAGGACCGACTCTTCATTGAGAAGCTCAGGGTGGCCCTCGAACAAGGCATAGAGCTCTTTTACGCTTGGGTGTTTTTTAGCTCCAGCAAGCTCAACTTTGCAAGGGGATGGGTTGGCATATACTGCAATGCATTGCGCAGGAAGGAGATAAAATCCCGGTGGCGATTTGGTGCTCCAGCGCCTTTTGCTCGGGCCCCATCGGGGAGATAACCCAAGACCTCCAAAAAGGACTTAGCGCGTTTGATGATGTGCTTGGGTTGGTTCTCGATAAACTGGAAGACCTCCAGCCGCCGTGCTTTTGGGATGAGGAAGCCCGACCGATAACCATCCGCCACCCGCTCAAGCCGTTGTGGGAGACCATCGACGATTCGGACTCAAATATGTTCCATTTTCTTCAAACATGCGCTTAAAAATCTGGTTATATCTTCTGAACATTTTCCTCTAATTCTTGGTCAGATTTTTTATCAATTAAAAAAGCTGCAAAGCTGCTAGCAAGCTTAAAAAACTTTCTGGTAATGACAGAGAAAGCAAAGCTTTCACTGAAAGTCCACCGCAATAGATTTTTCGTCGCAATAATAGGCGAATCGCTGATTGGTGAAGCTCATAGCGAGGATCGGGCGCTTGCAGCGGGTCAAGAGTTTCTCGTACAATTTGAAGATGAGAGGCGGTTTATTGCCCGTGCCGCCGAAGAGCGTATTAAGAAACCGTTTCACGTTCGACTTATCCGTGAATCGGAAGAGATAGAGAAAGTTTGTGTTAACCTTCATGTCCTTTATGTTGTCGAAGCTCTGGGAGAGGAAGAGACGTTCAATTTCAGATGATGGCTACACACCGTAAAGAACTTATAGAGGCATTCCTTCTGCGTTCCGCATTTGAAATTTATGACGCGGATGTCGTCGATGATGACGTAGGACTCCGGTTCTATACTCTTATCCTCGATCGATTCAGGCATGACGAAATAATGCTTCAAGACCGTGTTAGGTTGGATGTATTGATTAGCGGAGGTGTACAAAATGACGTACAGCCTTTTCGGACGAACGTGAGCAAGGAGCCGTTTCATGAAGAAGCTCTTGCCCATATTGCTTTGACCCGAGAGCAAAACATTTTGCCCCTTATTTTTTGAGTGAAGGCAGAAGCTCGTCAAACCATTATTTTTTGTGAAATTCAAGCCCGGGAATAGCGGGGTATTAGCCGCCACTAGTGCTAGTATCGCGCGCAATAACACTTGGAAGAACAGGAGGCGCGGGCGCCTCTGATGGCGTCGGGACGACTGACCCGGGGGCGGGGAATAACAGCCGAAAATCCATTTCCGAAAGATATGCACCGCTCTAAATGCTTAACAACTGGCCGATGTGGGCGCTTGTCGGGGTTGAGGACGCTGCACGCAAGGCCTGGGAGATGTTATTCTTGATTGGCTGATGGAAACGCGAAGCCGACGCGGGCGCCGAAGCAAGGACATTGGGTGCCAAATTTGTGGCTGACGACTTCAACCTAGAAATGGCCTTAATTTTGCTCGATTCGCTACTCTCTTGCCCGTGCTCTTTGCAGCATCCAGGAGCATGCTCTCAAGAGCATGTTCATCCAAACCGCTATTCTTCGCTCGCCCCGTGGTCTTCCGACGTGTCACTGCTGTTCTTCTAGGCGCTGCGCGCTTCGACGCCCCCATTTATTCGTCTTGTTGTCGACCTTGGCGCTGCGCGTGTTCTTCGAACAGTTCCCGTCGCCTTGCGAGTCTTTCCAGCCCTCGATCTTTTTTCAACACCTGTCGTCTGCTTGCGAGATGGCACACATTCCACGCGGTAGTCGTCGGAGGGGTGAGACATATTGCCGCTAAGAATACCCGCACCGAAGATACTGTCAACGACGTTGTCCCCCATTCTTCGCATATGGGGCCATCCTGGCGTCGGATCCCAACAGCCTCCCGCTGTGCTCAGTATAAGGAATGGATTACCCGCTCTCGAGCGTTGACATCGAACGCCTCCTGAACGCCGAGCGAGCCCGAGGACGGTTCGTTGAGGTCTGTAGCTACGACGGCCTACCACATCTCCACGATGGGCAGTTTTGCATCAGCAACACGGACAACATCTGCCCTCTCCATGATCCGGTCGAAGGGGGGCATCACTGGCTAACTATTTGTTGTATTGGAACGCATGTGCTTGTTTTCGATAGCTTTGGACGTGCGCTCGCTGAAATAGAGGAAGCATATGCAGAGCTCCAGCTGCGCAAATATTTTCTAGAGATCTTTCCCGAGCGGGTCATGGTTACGAATACGTTTGCAGTGCAGAGTCGAGCAACGGCTGTCTGCGGGCGCCATGCTGTCCTTGCGCCTACGACACGTAGTGTCAAAGCCGTCGTCCCGACAAAGCATGGTCGCGTTTCTACGAACGGAAGCATCGAGGAACGCCTCGCAGAGGTCTACTACACTCCTGCGGGGTACTGGCTTGGCCTTGCTGCTATCCCAAAGCTTGCTAAAGAGGTTGGCGTCGGCGAGGATGTGGCTCATGAATGGCTAACAAAACAGGCCATCTGGCAGATATACTTGCCCGCAGCCGCGCGAAGTGCTATCACAGGACCTACGTTTGACATCAGCACCCCGAATGAGGTCCAGCAGGCCGATCGCTTGTTTCTGCCTCACGATCGAGTCTGAAGACGCACATTCAAAGACGCATTGACGGTCGTCGACGTAGCAAGTCGGTATAAGGAGGCCCAGGCAATCACTGACAAGACAACAACCCAGGTTGGGAAGGCGTTAGAGTCTTTTTATGCCCGTGGGCCTCTTCCATGGCCTAAAGTTTTACAAGTTGACCATGGCTCGGAATTCCCTGGGGTTGTGCAAAAAGCGTGTGATAAAAATGGTGTCACGATTCGACGGGGTAAGGTAGGGGCTCATAGAGATCAGGGGATCGTAGAAATATTTAATCGAACTTCAGTGGGTGTCCTTCGATTCCCGGTTGAAGTCCTTGACTCAAGTGTAGTGGTGCTTCTCGAGGTTTTTCGAATCCGAGACGAGGAAGAGATTCACGGTCTTGCGAGCTCTCTCTACTTTGTTTAGACGGCAAGGAACGACGCCACCTTCCCAACCATACACGTTGATAGCAAAGTCGTTCTGACGCTCTACTCGTTCGAGCTGGGAGAGCGGTGTGGGTGCGCTCACTCCCGTAAAGTCAAGGCCGTCTTTAGTGGGATAATTGCCCGGCCATTGCGGGTCTTTAGCTGCAGGAAACAGCGCAGCCCTTAGAGACCAGCGGAGACAGTCGTTGTCTTAGACACGATCGATGTCAAGCTAGAGTGTTAGACACGATCCACTTACCACCCAGAGTGAACTTTTCTAATCTCTCCAGGATAGTCTGGAGGACTTCATGTAGGGCTTGCGGAATCTCATACGCCTGAAGCAGCGTGATCTGCTTTGTCCGGAACAATGGTGCTTAAAGCACTTCAGTACCATTTGCTTCATCGTTCCGAAGCTCAACCTCTACAGCCAACTGGAACTTAACTCCTCATAGAGCTAATAGCGCCTCGACGAGTTTGCGTTTGATGTAGGGCTGGGCGCTTTTGAGGAAAGCCATCAAATCGCGTTCGGAGTGGTGTCCCTTTTGGCACCTGCATTTTCCAGGCTCTCAGATGATAGCTGAAGGCCTTCGTTTCATCCCACTTAAGTTCCGTAGGTGGTGGGGGAGGAGGTCTTGTGGGGCATTGTGGTCTGCCCCTCAATGACATTTCAGCCAGAAGCTCATCGATGTATGAATCAATTTCATCATCGGTAGACTTGACGGGGCTGCGCTTGCGTGGTTTGGGGATAGGCGGAGTGACATTTCTTGGTGTGGGTGTTGAGGCAGCAGGCGGTTGAAGAGCCTTAAGAGAGGCGTTCAGCGCGTGTCCGCTGATTACACCTTGGTCATATAGTTGCAGAAGTTTATTAACAGTATCCATCTCGAGTGTCGCAAATCTCGTTGTTATGCATTAGGGGAGATATTTTTCTAGATAAAAATTAATTCTAAATGTCGAAATTAATTCGGCGAGTACGCTAGCAAACCTTTTTCTTGCTTGTTTCTGTTTATTAACAAGCATATGCTGAAGTATTCACCCATGCAGCTACGTCCACATGTGGTGAGCTTTCTGGATATTAACCACGCACACTTGTTCTTGCCCTGCCTCATGGCTTTCGAATGTTTGGATATACAATATGTGAGAATTTATGTCTAAAGAAATAATAGACCCCTGACGGCCGGTTGCGCGGGCGCTGGGTGTGGGCCGCCCGTCTTTGGCTCCTGCCGTTGTCCTGAGTTTGGTCTTTGCGTTATCCGGTGCGATTTTTGTGCCGACCTATGTGCTTACTGTGTATGTGAACCACGTACGCGAACTAGGACTGGGGCGCTTAGATTTGTGTATACTCCTTCTCAAACTGTGAAGTGCGTTAGAACCGGCGCGATTTTTTGTCGGGAGCCATGTATACACAGTACGAACTAGGGCTGGGGCTCTCAGATTTATGCATGCAGCCTATCAGGGGGGGAAGTGTGCCAGAACCGGTAGTCTCTATACAAATCATTATGACATGGCATCTGTGAATGTCAAGCGCATCACTGACTCAGAATTATTTATTATCAAACCTTTTCTTCGTGTAAGAGCCGCAATTTTTATAGTGGATAATTTGAAACAAAAAATGAAACCTAATTTCTACTCGTGGTATTAAATATAGCTTTAAAAGTCACTTATAGAATCATTCAAACGATTTTCATTTGGAATGGAAATAAACATTGATTTGTTTATAGTCATACTTCATACTACGCAATGCTTCCGTATCAAATTTGCTAAGTTAGAAATGTAAATACAAAATCTCGGTTAACTTACGTAAAATTACCTTTGTTTTAGAAATAAGACTTCATATACGACGATCGTGTGGACAAAATTATGCTTGCTTTAGTTCTTTACATGTTACGTACCTAACAAAAGATGAGAAATTTAATATAAAAACGCGACTACATACATATCAGTTAAAAAATGGTGATCATAATTCATACATTATTGAAACATCAACTTTTTATCCATATGAGTTTTGTTACATAAACACATTTAAATAACGAGCGAAGATGAAGAGTGAGTCAGGATCTCCTTCAACAAACAGTATTATTCTATAACTAAGTATACATCACTGACTAAAAAAATTGTTATAGAAATAAAAATACATAAATAAGAACCTCGTGCAGAGTACATATTTAACATTGAGATCAGTCAAATTCCAAAGGATTTAAATGTCAATGATTAATACACGATTTTCGAAAATGTGAATGGATTTTCCCATGATTAAGCAAAAGTTGCATACATGTATGCTCTTGCATGAGTCAATTCATATTATAAAAATCTTTGTTATTAAATAAAACTTTGCAAATCATGAATACATTTTGAACATCAACTGCACGCAATTATATTTAGTTATGATCAATTAAGACACTGTAGATACAACAGTAAAGGTTGCAATGAAAGTAAACCTTAAAACTGTTAAACAAACATGATCAAAAGTATAATTTTAAAAGATCACTGTGTTGCATGAATCAACATTTCACAAAAATTGATTTGGTCGCGTTCTTCCTCTGTGTAAATACATTCTTTCTGTGTGTAATATTTGCTAATTTTGCTAATTTCCTTACTTTCAAAATAAATGGTTTGTTCAATACCATCATCGACCTTTTTCGAGACACACAGAGTTTAGTCAAAAGTGGCGTCGGCAAAGAAGGAAGGTGATGCATAATTGGTCATGTTCATCCCCCTCTACATAAATTTTCACGTATTCCCATTTTTTCTATAGACAAGTATAGTTTGTATAACTCCAGCAGCATTAAAGTTCTGGCACCTGCATGCAACGTTTGGTATTATTGATAGTAGATGTAAACTAGATACATACAGAAAATGTACTTAGAATTAGATAGGAAATGAACAAACAACAAACAAAACAACAGAATATAAGTAAAGTGTCATTACCGATTGTTCTCTTTTATATCCAGATCGCAATGATCTGTATATTTTTGATAAAGAGTTAGAAGTTCTAATACTTTACGCGTTCGTAAGTTTACATTAACAACAATATTCTTTCGACTTTTTGGGATTGGCACTAGTGTCAGTTACAGTTTATCAAGAATAATTCAGCATCCTACATATAAAAAATATTCTCTTGTAATTTTGCCTTCCCCCATACTTTTGAACAGGTTTTACTGTTTCTTTACCATGCAGCTTATGGTCAATAGTTAAAAAGTTGAAATATAGATTTAGATATGATTTCTCATGTATGTTTATTTACACTTCATCTAGTTGTTTCTTTAGCAAATTGTTAAGTCGGAAATGTAGATTATAAAAAACCTTTGTTATTAAATAAACCATTGTAAATTATGAATAGATCAGGGGCGGATCTAGAGTATGTCAAATCCGTCGCGCGACTGATGTTTGAAATTCAAAAATTACCTATTCATATTAGTTAAAAATTCATTAATTATTCTTACTTTCTTACCGCATTTACTTCGTGATAAAAATCCCGCATTATTTATTATTGAAAACTAATGACTAATCCAATAAATATCTCGTTGGTAACCAGATCAGTTGAATTTTAATTGACCTGGAATAACCGACTGATAAGCGGGGTGGCTTGACTGGTTCGACGTATAAAGGAGTCTATGAACGTCAAAAACGCTTATTTTATTGGTCAATAGCCAGATCAGTGGACAGTCTGGAATGGTCTCGACTGATAATAAGGGTGTCCGGACGTATAAGGAGTCAATTGCTATCTTACAATTGGTTCATTTGAATTTTGCTTTATTGTGATTGGTTTGACGGATTTCGACTGATAGCCAACTGAACTAACATAGTCAAGCTCACTGTCTGAATTGAATGTTTGATCGTTTCATAGTAATTTTTATAAGCATGATAGAAACTAAACTACAATCAGATGGAATTTATGGAAATCTTTTACAAATTCATATATTGACATGAATGCTGCTGTCCAAACGGTGAATTTTTTCAAGAGGGCGAAAAATTTATGGATAAATTTTAAATGCTTGGCAAAGACGATCTCGCGAGCGACATTTCAGTCATTGATGTTCAAAAGAAAGCCAATATTGTTTTGAGTTTTATCAGCAGAAATTTACATCTAAAATCGTAAGTAAAGGACAAGTGAAGTGTATGTATGAATGTAATATGTCAAAGTCAATTATGCGAGTGTGCGATGCGATTTATGTCAATATGGCGTATGGTAAGCAGATTGATGCTTCTAAAATTGTTGTTGACGAAGGACTTTTAGCTATGATTTCTTTAGTGCTTGGAGAATCGTGGCCGTTAAACGGCAGCAAAATCCTACATTCCTGCAAATATACTTCAATGGACAAAAAATCTGTGGCCATAAGGCGCCATACTATTATTTACTTTATCATAAACAAATGTTTGGGTCTTTTCAGTTTATGATCATTGATCATTCAATCATTGGACAGTTATACTACATATTGTTTAAGATTTGAGAAAACTAACATTGATTACATGAGAAGCTGTTTACTATAACCTGTGATTTTGAGTCTTCTGATCCATGAAGCTTTTTATTTTGACAATTTGACTGGAATGGTATTAAACCTTAGTATTTCACATACATGAAATGTTGTCCCATGTCACATATTGTCCCCTTTTCTAACTGAACACCTCATGTAGAGATGTAAAGGTGTGTTAATCTACGGCTCATACCAGATTGTTTGCCATAAATTCCAAAGGGCTATTGATGTATAAAAAGCATTTTCTATAAAGTAAAAATGTCTTCCTATGTATGCAGATAAACCTTGAAATTTGGCAAAACAACAAATTATTTTTCATGATCACTAGGTAATTTTTCTGATGATCATTATAATTTCTAAAATAAATTATTTCAGATTTACATTTAAACAAGCTTTGATCATATGAAAAGATATTTATCATAACCAGTAAGCATGACACATGAAACCATTTTAACATTCATGTAATTATATAATTAAAGACATGTTGGTTACATTCTGGTTGTATTTGCAAATACAATGCTACTAGTGATTGCTATATAGCACACCTTGCATATACTTACAGGAGATAATAGTCTAGTGAAATGCCTAATAAACATTTATGGCATTAAGCTGTCCTTAACTGCAAATTTTCACTCTGATAATTTTTGCTTAACCTTTGGCAGAAAAAATTTTGAGTTTTTCTCAAAGGTGAATTTGCTGGCACTGATGTGGAGATGGGTAAAGGGTTACAATAAACTTGCATGGTTTGAAGTCTGAGCTTTTCTATATCTATGAACTGTCACTTGTAGTACCAAATTTCTAACTTAACTAAACTCATTACATAGAGGTTTGAATGGGGGTCTCTAGGGGGGTCTATGCCTGACAACTTGATAGAAATTTTTAAAGACTATATCTGTTTTTGAATAGCATTATTGTAAAATAAATTTACGTTCCTAGACATGCTAATGAGCCATATATTTGGCATGATAATGAGCCTAAATATTTGGCAAAACATTCAAGTATTGTTCACTTCATTTTTTTTTTTTTGAAAAAAACGTAAGCAAAATGTGTTGTTTTTACGGAAAAACGATTCCCACAAAATACATTTTGTATTTCTCTAAAACGCTTAAAATGGCATTTTCAAGGCTCTGAAATTAAAAAATTTCTCAGGGGAGAATGCCTCAGACCCCCCCCCCAGGTGCGGAGCGCCTTCGACGTTTTATGACTGATGTTTGAAAAATCCTAGATCCGCCCCTGGAATAGATGGTAAACATCAACTATAATTACGCAATTATAATTACTTATGTTCAATAAAGACACTGTAGATACAACAGTAAAGGATGCAATAAAAGTAAACTTTAAAACTGTTAAACTAACAGGATCAAAAGTATAATTTTTAAAAGCTCACTTTGTTGCATGAATCAACATTTCACAAAAAATAGATTCTGTCGCGCTTTTCCTCTGTGTAAATACATTCTTCCTGTGTTTAACATTTGCTTATTTTTCCAATTTTCTTACTTTTAAAAGAAATGCTTTGTTGTATACAACTATCAACATTTTGCTAGACACACAGAGATTAGCCAAAAGTGGCGTCAGCAAAGAAGGGAGGTGATGCATGATTGAACATGCTATACTCTCTACATAAATTTTCACAGATTCCTACTTTTCCCATAGACAAGTATGCTATTTCTCCTCTCCCATACCTTTGAAAAGGTTTTGTTTTCCTTTACCATGCAGCTTATTGTCAATAGTTAGAAAGTTGGTATATCAATTTAGATATGATTTCTCATGCATGTTTAGTCCTACTTTATCGAGATGCCACTTTAGCTAATTTGTTATGTCGATAATGTAGTTCTAAAATATCGCTTAATTTTTCTAAAATTACTTCCGTTTTAGAAGTAAGACGACCGTGTGAACAAAATTATGCTTGCTTTAGTTCTTCACATGTCACATACTCAACAAACGGATGAAAGATTTCATATAAACAACGCGACCACATACATATCAGATTAAAAATGGTGATGAAAGTTGATACCTTATTGTAATATCAATATTTTATCCTTATGAGTTTTGTTGCATAAACACATTTGAATAACGAACGAAGATGAAGAGTGAGTCAGGATCTCCTTCAACAAACAGTATTAAAACACATTAATGACGTCTATGTAGAACATTCTAGTTATATAATTAAGTATACATCACTAACTAAAAACAATTGTTATCGAAATAAAAAATACATAAATAAGAACCTCATGCAGAGAACATAATAACATTGAGATTAGTCAAATTTAAAAGGACTACTGCTAAATCTTATAAAGTTTAACAAGTTTTATTTCAGGAATAGAGAATCACGTATCTAAGACAGGATTTGAATGCCAATGATTAAGACAAAATTTTAGAAACTGTGAATGGATTTTTCCCTTCCTTAATCAAAAATTCCATACTTGTATATTCTTGAATAAATCAGTTCTTATTATAAAAAATCTTTGTTATTGAATAAACCATTGTAAATTATGAACACATGGCAAACATCAACTGCACGCAATTATAAATAGTTACGTTCAATAAAGACACTGTATATACAACAGTAAAGGATGCAATAAAAGTAAACCTTAAGGCTGCTAGATAAACAAGATCAAATTATAATTTTAAAAGCACACTGTGTTGCATGAATCAACAATTTACAAAAATAGATTCGGTTGCGTCTTTCTCTGTGTAAATACATTCTTCCTGTGTTTAACATTTGCTTATTTTTCAAATTTCTTACTTTTTAAGGTGGTCATATACAAATTTAAGGCACTATTTTTTCTAAAAACTCAAAATTTTTTTTTGATCATTATCGGTACTTTATGCTATGGTTTTTCTGATTGTTCTAATCGTTTTTCGTTAAAACTATCATTTACCCACGAAAAATGCTTTCAAAGTTGTCTTCTTAAGGTGGTCACCCCCTCTTGTCAGATGAATTTTTAAAAATTTTTCCGAAAATTTTTTTTGGTCATTTTTGGCACTTTAAGTATAGTAGTTTAAGTCTGCAGTGTTGATTTTCTTTAAAAAATAATACTCCGTGAGAAAAATGCCCTCAAACATACCTTATCAAAGAAATTAACCCTTAGCAACGCCTTAGCAACGCATTTAGGTACCACAATCGTGAAAAATTTCGACCAAAATCCATTTTTAACCATTATTTTTTGGTTTGTCCTTTTGGCGTATGTAATTTCATGTCTTTTGATGAATGTTGCTCCGTGATTGGTTGCTTTTGCTAGCCTTGGTTGGCCTTGACAACGCTATGACTTTGTCGCATATACACGTTCGTCAAAGCCATCTACGAAAATCTTAGTTTTCTCTTACATTTCACGTTGACAAAGAGCTGTTTTAGTTTCTATATAAATTCTATTTGTTTTTTTTTATTGTATTTTCAAAAATAAATGGGAAATCTTAAAAACAGAAAGAGAAAACGGCCTAGAATTTCTCCTAAGAATACGACGAAGAGATTAAAAGATGGCGCACCTCGTGATCTAACAGCTGGGCCTTCATCCGCAAAAATTGGCACCGAGAGTGCATAAAATGTTCCTTTCTCGGGGAATATTGACACTATAAGAGAAGGTACCATATTCATTGATTTAATGATCTTGTTTGGCGTCTTCGAAAACCTTCTGAAATGTCCTGACTGTGCTGATGATGTGAGGTGTCATGTTGACATGAGGAAGAAGCATGGCTTTGCTCATTACATTGTACTGCAATGTGTGGGATGCGATTGGAAGCATTGTTTTATTTCTTCAAAAAAAGAAGGGCAATCACATGAAATTAATGTACGAGCAGTGCTAGCTTTTAGAGAAATTGGTAAAGGTCACACTGCTATGACGACATTTACTAAAGTTCTAAACATGCCTCCTCCACCAAGGCGTGACAACTTTAGCAAAATTCAAAACCAAAAACTTTTGCCAGTTGTGAAACAGTGTGCAATTGACAGCATGATGAATAATGCTATGCATGTTAAGGACTTGATTGTAAATGATGCTGGAGAATGTGGGATTTCCATTGATGGCACCTGGCAGAAGCGAGGATACTCTTTACACAATGGTGTTGTCACGGTAATTTCCCGTGATACCAAGAAGTGCCTTGACGTAGAAGTGCTTTCTGACAAGTGTCAGCAGTGTATCAAGTGGAGGAAGAAACAAAGTGATGCTAGACCTTCCTAAAGATATTTGAAGATTTGGACATAACACCAGGTTTCTTCACTTGCCAAGGTGCGCACATTTGTGACCAAGCTTGAATAAAGCTTTCAGCAAAAAAGAGCACTGAGAAGGTGAAGGGACAAAGAAAATCCCTAAGATATTATAGAAAAAAGTATTTAGACAAGGCTGAGGACAATGAAGGAGTTACATATGAGTCAGGTAGCTTTTAAACCCTGTATAATGATATGAAAACTTTACTATAACTTTAACTTGACTTTTCTCCATTTCGTTATTTTTTGTGTGTCACCAATACTTGTGACACTGTAACTTTGTAAATATTTATTGTAGAAGCTTGATATTTTGTATATTTATTTACTACAATATAATCTAGAAACTGACATTTTCAAATTTTAAAATTTTCCTCATAGATGAATTATTTCTGCACTTTTTTCCGAAAAAATGGTGGATTAAAACCCAAAATATCTGACAATTCAATAAATCGGCTGTTAAATTTTTATAAAAAAATTTGAAGAAAATTGAAAAATGTCATTCTCTAGCTCAGATTATTGGCTTTTCAAAAATGTATTATTTGTTTCATTGTGATGACTTGTTCTTGAGATATGGTGTTAATGCTGTTAATTAATTATGGGCTAATTAATGGCCGCCATAATGGATAATTAGTGTAATTAGCAACTTCCTGAATTTTTTTTGTGCACATCATTTTCTATCACCTTACTCATTCAGAAAATGTTATTTTCACTTTAAAATGTTTAAAAATAAAAAAAAGTTGCTATAGAGGGGGTGACCACCTTAAAGTTTTTGGTCCATAGCAACGCCTTAGCAACGGATTTTTACCCAAATTTCACCCCAAAAACTCCCCTTCTAAAGCGAATTTTTTGTTTCTACTTTTGGTGGATGTTATTCAAAGCCTTCTCGTTAAGTTACATCGTGATTGGTTGCATTTTGGCACCATGGTAACTGTTATAATTTCATATCAAAGCTGATCGCGTGCTCGCACAGTTCGAAAAGTTGCTCTTCAAAAAACATTATAATTTTGTATCTCTGAGGAGAAAAGTCTTTTTGTTAGTATTTCGGAGCTTTCCTTTTGTTATTCCGATAATAATCAAAGCGAAAAATAATGGGGAATAGTCGAAATAGAAAGAGAAAAGCGGTTAGAACTCCGCCATCAAAAATGGCAAAGAAGTCAAAACATGGCGGAAACGATGACGCAAACCCTGGACCTTCTGCAAAGAAAATAAGTCATCAAACGAGGAGCATTGGCTCAAATTTTAATAATCTACACACTGCAAAAGAAGGCACCGTGTTTATGGACTTGTCTTTGCTGTTTGGTGTTTTTGATGAATTTTTAAAATGCCCTGATTGCGAAAGCAGTGTGGAATCCCATGTGGACTTGAGGAAAAGGAAAGGCTATGCGCATTATATTCTTCTTCAATGTAAGAATAAAGAATGTGAGTGGAAGTATAGTTTCCACACATCTAAAAAGCAAGGCTGTTCACACGAAGTTAATGTCCGAGCAGTCCTAGCATTTCGAGAAATTGGTCGAGGGCAAGCTGCAATGGTCACATTCAACAAGGTCATGAATATGGCTCCACCACCAACTTGCCGAAGCTTTACATTGATTCAAAATGGAAAGCTATTACCAGTTGTTGAACAACTGGCCAATGACAGCATGCTCAGCAATGCTATGCATGTTAAAGAGGAAAATGGAGCACCAGAATGTGGAATATCTTTGGATGGTACATGGCAAAAGAGAGGCCATGCATCCCATAATGGTGTTGTTACGGCAATATCTTTGCAAACCAAAAAGTGTTTAGACGTGGAAGTGCTCTCAGACAGGTGTCAGCAATGTGCCAAATGGAAAAATAGGACAAGTGATCCTAAATACAACGAATGGAAAGCTGGTCATCAGTGCAAGATCAATCATGAAGGAAGTGCTAGCAGTATGGAGACTTCTGGAGCTGTGCGAATTTTCGAGAGGTCTTTTGCTTCTAGAGGACTGAAATACAAGGAAATGCTTGGCGACGGGGATTCTTCAACATATAATGCTATTGTTGAAAGAAAGCCATATGGAGAAGAGTGCATTCCAAAAAAGTTGGAGTGTATTGGTCACATTCAAAAGAGGGTTGGGAGTCGTCTTCGTAAGTTGAAGAATACAACGAAAGGGGTAAAGCTTGCTGACGGTAAAGGATTGAGTGGAAAAGGAAGGCTTACAGATGGGAAGATTGATATTCTTCAAAATTATTATGGTTTGTCAGTAAGAGGAAACCTTCATGATGTTAAGGAAATGGCAAAATCGATAAAAGCTTCTCTCTATCATGTTGCATCAACTGATACTAATCCTCAGCATCATCTTTGTCCTGATGGTGAAGACAGTTGGTGTGGCTATAAGAGGGGAAAAGGACAACTACAAGCACAGAATAGGCATTCCTGAATGTATTGTTAAGGTCATTGAGCCCATATTTGAAGAACTGAGCAATGCTACTTTGTTGAACAAATGTACTCATGGCTTAACTCAAAATGTTAATGAATGTCTAAATAATATGATATGGGAACGATGTCCGAAGGCTACATATGTTGAACAAGAGACTGTTGCTCTTGCAACATACTTGGCTATTCTTAAATTTAATGATGGGGACATAAATTTGTTAAAGGTATTGAGTGAACTGGACATAACTCCTGGAATGTTTACAAGTAAAGGGGCTCAAGAATGTGATCATCATCGGATAAAGTTGTCGGCAAAGAAGAGTTCAGAGAAGGTGAAAAAGCAAAGAAAAACATTAAGAAACATTAGAAAGAATTATATTGACAATGCTAAACATAAGGAAGGAGTTACTTATGAAGCTGGCAATTTTTAGGGCTGCCAGAGGTACAATATAGGTTATGTAAACTTTAAATGCTGTTTTCTCATTTTGGTGATTTTAGCACTTAGGAAAAACTTTGTGACATCATATTATCTTTGTTATTTGTCAGAGATGCCTGAAATTTTGTATGTTGAAGGCTAGTAATATTATCTAGTGCTTGACATTTTCAAATTTTGATATTTTGCATTGTTGATGAAATATTTACTCGTTATGTCATAAAATGTGTACCAAAATGCAAAATTACTGAAGAAAATCAAATTTTGAATATATTTTTGTTTATAAAGAATTAATAAAAATTGAAAAGTGTCAAGCACTAGATTATGTTCTAAGCTTTTAAAAAACTTTACTCATTGAATTTGGATCATTGGTTCCCAAGATATCATGTTTGAAGTTCATTTATTGGCTAATTAGGGGCCGCCATGTTGGATAATTAGTGTAATTAGTGATTTTTTAATTTTTTTTTTCCATTAGTTAATTCTCTTCATTAAAGTCTTTCAAATACTGATAGTTTCTTATAACTATCTTTAAAAATGAAAAAAATTCAATTTTTTGTATATGACCACCTTAAAGAAAAGGTTTGTTGTATACAACTATCAACATTTTGCTAGACACACAGAAATTAGTCAAAAGTGGCGTCAGCAAGAAGGGAGGTGATGCATGATTAGACACGTGCCCCTCCCTATATAAATTTTCACAGATTCCCATTTTTTCATAGACTATATCTTATTTCATCTCTCCCATACCTTTGAACAGGTTTTGCTTTCCTTTACCATGCACTTTATTGCAAATAGTTAGAAAGTTGGTATATAAATTTAGATATGATTTCTCATGTATGTTTAAGCATACTTTAGTTAATTTGTTATTTCGATAATGTAATTCTAACATATCGCTTAATTTTTCTAAAATTACTTCCGTTTTAGAAGTAAGACGACTGTGTGAACAAAATTATGCTTGCTTTAGTTCTTTACATGTCACATACTCAACAAACGGATGAAAGATTTAATATAAACAACGCGACCACATACATATCAGATTAAAAATGGTGATGAAAGTTGATACCTTATTTTAACATCAATCTTTTATCCTTATGAGTTTTGTTACATTAACACATTTGAATAACGAACGAAGATGAAGAGTGAGTCAGGATCTCTTTCAACAAACAGTATTAAAACACATTAATGACGTCTATGTAGAACATTCTTGTTATATAACTAAGTATACATCACTGACTAAAAACAATTGTTATTGAAATAAAAATGCATAAATAAGAACCTCATGCAGAGAACATAATAACATTGAGATTAGTCAAATTTAAAAGGACTACGGCTAAATCTTATAAAGTGTAACAAGTTTTATTTCAGGAATAGAGAATCACGTATCTAAGACAGGATTTGAATGCCAATGATTAAGACACAATTTTAGAAACTGTGAATGGATTTTTCCCTTCATTAATCAAAAATTCCATACATGTATATTCTTGAATAAATCAGTTCATATTATAAAAAATCTTTGTTATTGAATAAACCATTGTAAATTATGGATACATGGCAAACATCAACTGCACGCAACTATAATTCTTATGATCAATAAAGACACTGTAGATAAAACAGTAAAGGATGCAATAAAAGTAAACCTTAAGACTGCTAGATAAACAAAATCAAATTATAATTTTAAAAGCTCACTGTTTTGCATGAATCAACAATTTACAAAAATAGATTCGGTTGCGTCTTTCTCTGTGTAAATACATTCTTCCTGTGTTTAACATTTGCTTATTTTTCAAATTTTCTTACTTTTTAAAGAAAAGGTTTGTTGTATACAACTATCAACATTTTGCTAGACACACAGAGATTAGTCAAAAGTGGCGTCAGCAAGAAGGGAGGTTATGCATGATTAGACACGTGCCCTCCCTATATAAATTTTCACAGATTTCCATTTTTTCATAGACAAGTATGCTATTTCATCTCTCCCATACCTTTGAACAGGTTTTGCGTTCCTTTACCATGCACTTTATTGCCAATATTTAGAAAGTTGGTATATAAATTTAGATATGATTTCTCATGTTTGTTTAGTCATACTTTATCGGAATGCCGCTTTAGCTAATTTGTTATTTCGATAATGTAATTCTAAAATATCGCTTAATTTTTCTAAAATTACTTCCGTTTTAGAAGTAAGACGACCGTGTGAACAAAATTATGCTTGCTTTAGTTCTTTACATGTCACATACTCAACAAACGGATGGAAGATTTAATATAAACAACGCGACCACATACATATCAGATTAAAAATGGTGATGAAAGTTGATACCTTATTGTAACGTCAATCTTTTATCCCTATGAGTTTTGTTACATTAACACATTTGAATAACGAACGAAGATGAAGAGTGAGTCAGGATCTCCTTCAACAAACAGTATTATAAAACATTAATGACGTCTATGTAGAACATTCTTGTTATATAACTAAGTATACATCACTGACTAAAAACAATTGTTATTGAAAAAAAAATGCATAAATAAGAACCTCATGCAGAGAACATAATAACATTGAGATTAGTCAAATTTAAAAGGACTACTGCTAAATCTTATAAAGTTTAACAAGTTTTATTTCAGGAATAGAGAATCACGTATCTAAGACAGGATTTGAATGCCAATGATTAAGACACAATTTTAGAAACTGTGAATGGATTTTTCCCTTCATTAATCAAAAATCCATACATGTATATTCTTGAATAAATCAGTTCTTATTATAAAAAATCTTTGTTATTGAATAAACCATTGTAAATTATGAACACATAGCAAACATCAACTGCACGCAATTATAATTACTTATGATCAATAAAAACACTGTAGATACAACAGTAAAGGATGAAATAAAAGTAAACCTAAAGACTGCTAGATAAACAGGATCAAATCATAATTTTAAAAGCTCACTGTGTTGCATGAATCAACAATTTACAAAAATGGATTCGGTTGCGTCTTTCTTTGTGTAAATACATTCTTCCTGTGTTTAATATTTGCTTATTTTTAAAATTTTTTTACTTTTAAAAGAAATGGTTTGTTGTATACAACTATGAACATTTTGCTAGACAAACAGATATTAGTCAAAAGTGGCGTCAGGAATAAGGGAGGTGATGCATGATTTGATACGTGCCCCTCCCTATATAAATTTTCCCAGATTCCACTTTTTTCTATAGACAAGTATGTTATTTCACATCTCCCATACCTTTGAACAGGTTTTGCTTTCTTTTACCATGCACTTTATTGCCAATAGTTAGAAAGCTGGTATATAAATTTAGATAGGATTTCTCATGCATGTTTAGTCATACTTTATCGACATGCTGCTTTAGCTAATTTGTTATGTCTGTAGTGTAATTCTAAAATATCGCTTAATTTTTGTAAAATTACTTCCGCTTTAGAAGTAAGACGACCGTGTGAACAAAAATATGCTTGCTTTAGTTCTTTACATGTCACATACTCAACAAACGGATGAAAGATTTAATATAAACAACGCGAACACATACATATCAGATTAAAAATGGTGATGAGAGTTTATACCTTATTGTAACATCAATCTTTTATCCTTATGAGTTTTGTTACATTGACACATTTGAATAACGAACAAAGATGAAGAGTGAGTCAGGATCTCCTTCAACAAACAGTATTAAAACACATTAATGACGTCTATGTAGAACATTCTAGTTATATAACTAAGTATACATCACTAACTAAAAATAATTGTTATTGAAATAAAAATACATAAATAAGAACCTCATGCAGAGAGCATAATAACATTGAGATTAGTCTAATTTAAAAGGACTACTGCTAAATCTTATAAAGTTTCACAAGTTTTATTTCAGGAATAGAGAATCACTTATCTAAGACAGGATTTGAATGCCAATGATTAAGACACAATTTTAGAAACTGTGAATGGATTTTTCCCTTCATTAATCAAAAATTCCATACATGTATATTCTTGAATAAATCAGTTCTTATTATAAAAAAACCTTTGTTATTGAATAAACCATTATAACTTATAAATACATGTCAAACATCAACTACACGCAATTATAATTACTTATGATCAATAAAGACACTGTAGATACAACAGTAAAGGATGCAATAAAAGTAAACCTTAAGACTGCTAGATAAACAAGATCAAATTATAATTTTAAAAGCTCACTGTGTTGCACGAATCAACAATTTACAAAAATAGATTCGGTTGTATCTTTCTCTGTGTAAATACATTCTTCCTGTGTTTAATATTTGCTTATTTTTAAAATTTTTTTACTTTTAAAAGAAATGGTTTGTTGTATACAACTATGAACATTTTGCTAGACAAACAGATATTAGTCAAAAGTGGCGTCAGGAAGAAGGGAGGTGATGCATGATTTGATACGTGCCCCTCCCTATATAAATTTTCCCAGATTCCACTTTTTTCCATAGACAAGTATGTTATTTCACATCTCCCATACCTTTGAACAGGTTTTGCTTTCCTTTACCATGCACTTTATTGCCAATAGTTAGAAAGCTGGTATATAAATTTAGATAGGATTTCTCATGCATGTTTAGTCATACTTTATCGACATGCTGCTTTAGCTAATTTGTTATGTCTGTAGTGTAATTCTAAAATATCGCTTAATTTTTGTAAAATTACTTCCGCTTTAGAAGTAAGACGACCGTGTGAACAAAAATATGCTTGCTTTAGTTCTTTACATGTCACATACTCAACAAACGGATGAAAGATTTAATATAAACAACGCGAACACATACATCATCAGATTAAAAATGGTTATGAGAGTTTATACCTTATTGTAACATCAATCTTTTATCCTTATGAGTTTTGTTACATAAACACATTTGAATAACGAAGGAAGATGAAGAGTGAGTCAGGATCTCCTTCAACAAACAGTATTAAAGCACATTAATGACGTCTATGTAGAACATTCTAGTTATATAACTAAGTATACATCACTAACTAAAAATAATTGTTATTGAAATAAAAATACATAAATAAGAACCTCATGCAGAGAACATAATAACATTGAGATTAGTCTAATTTAAAAGGACTACTGCTAAATCTTATAAAGTTTCACAAGTTTTATTTCAGGAATAGAGAATCACTTATCTAAGAGAGGATTTGAATGCCAATGATTAAGACACAATTTTAGAAACTGTGAATGGATTTTTCCCTTCATTAATCAAAAATTCCATACATGTACATTCTTGAATAAATCAGTTCTTATTATAAAAAATCTTTGTTATTGAATAAACCATTGTAAATTATGAACACATGGCAAACATCAACTTCACGCAATTATAACTACTTATAATCAATAAAAACACTGTAGATACAACAGTAAAGAATGAAATAAAAGTAAACCTTAAGAGTGCTAGATAAACAGGATCAAATTATAATTTTAAAAGCTCACTGTGTTGCATAAATCAACAATTTACAAAAATAGATTCGGTTGCGTCTTTCTTTGTGTAAATACATTCTTCCTGTGTTTAACATTTGCTTATTTTTCAAATTTCCTTACTATTAAAAGAAATGGTTTGTTGTATACAACTATCAACATTTTGCTAGACACACAGAACTTAGTCAAAAGTGGCGTCGGCAAGAAGGGAGGAAATGCATGATTGGACACGTGCCCCCTCCCTACATAAATTTTCATAGATTCTCATTTTTTCATTAGACAAGTATGCTATTTCACCTCTCCCATACCTTTGAACAGGTTTTGCTTTCTTTTACCATGCACTTTATTGCCAATAGTTAGAAAGCTGTTATATAAATTTAGATAGGATTTCTCATGCATGTTTAGTCATACTTTATCGACATGCTGCTTTAGCTAATTTGTTATGTCTGTAGTGTAATTCTAAAATATCGCTTAATTTTTGTAAAATTACTTCCGCTTTAGAAGTAAGACGACCGTGTGAACAAAATTATGCTTGCTTTAGTTCTTTACATGTCACATACTCAACAAACGGATGAGAGATATAATATAAACAACGCGAACACATACATCATCAGTTTAAAAATGGTGATGAGAGTTGATAACTTATTGTAACATCAATCTTTTATCCTTATGAGTTTTGTTACATAAACACATTTGAATAACAAAGGAAGATGAAGAGTGAGTCAGGATCTCCTTCAACAAACAGTATTAAAGCACATTAATGACGTCTATGTAGAACATTCTAGTTATATAACTAAGTATACATCACTAACTAAAAATAATTGTTATTGAAATAAAAATACATAAATAAGAACCTCATGCAGAGAACATAATAACATTGAGATTAGTCTAATTTAAAAGGACTACTGCTAAATCTTATAAAGTTTCACAAGTTTTATTTCAGGAATAGAGAATCACTTATCTAAGAGAGGATTTGAATGCCAATGATTAAGACACAATTTTAGAAACTGTGAATGGATTTTTCCCTTCATTAATCAAAAATTCCATACATGTATATTCTTGAATAAATCAGTTCTTATTATAAAAAATCTTTGTTATTGAATAAACCATTGTAAATTATGAACACATGGCAAACATCAACTTCACGCAATTATAACTACTTATAATCAATAAAAACACTGTAGATACAACAGTAAAGAATGAAATAAAAGTAAACCTTAAGACTGCTAGATAAACAGGATCAAATTATAATTTTAAAAGCTCACTGTGTTGCATAAATCAACAATTTACAAAAATAGATTCGGTTGCGTCTTTCTTTGTGTAAATACATTCTTCCTGTGTTTAACATTTGCTTATTTTTCAAATTTCCTTACTATTAAAAGAAATGGTTTGTTGTATACAACTATCAACATTTTGCTAGACACACAGAACTTAGTCAAAAGTGGCGTCGGCAAGAAGGGAGGAAATGCATGATTGGACACGTGCCCCTCCCTACATAAATTTTCATAGATTCTCATTTTTTCATTAGACAAGTATGCTATTTCACCTCTCCCATACCTTTGAACAGGTTTTGCTTTCTTTTACCATGCACTTTATTGCCAATAGTTAGAAAGCTGTTATATAAATTTAGATAGGATTTCTCATGCATGTTTAGTCATACTTTATCGACATGCTGCTTTAGCTAATTTGTTATGTCTGTAGTGTAATTCTAAAATATCGCTTAATTTTTGTAAAATTACTTCCGCTTTAGAAGTAAGACGACCGTGTGAACAAAATTATGCTTGCTTTAGTTCTTTACATGTCACATACTCAACAAACGGATGAGAGATATAATATAAACAACGCGAACACATACATCATCAGTTTAAAAATGGTGATGAGAGTTGATAACTTATTGTAACATCAATCTTTTATCCTTATGAGTTTTGTTACATAAACACATTTGAATAACGAAGGAAGATGAAGAGTGAGTCAGGATCTCCTTCAACAAACAGTATTAAAGCACATTAATGACGTCTATGTAGAACATTCTAGTTTTATAACTAAGTATACATCACTAACTAAAAATAATTGTTATTGAAATAAAAATACATAAATAAGAACCTCATGCAGAGAACATAATAACATTGAGATTAGTCTAATTTAAAAGGACTACTGCTAAATCTTATAAAGTTTTACAAGTTTTATTTCAGGAATAGAGAATCACTTATCTAAGAGAGGATTTGAATGCCAATGATTAAGACACAATTTTAGAAACTGTGAATGGATTTTTCCCTTCATTAATCAAAAATTCCATACATGTATATTCTTGAATAAATCAGTTCTTATTATAAAAAATCTTTGTTATTGAATAAACCATTGTAAATTATGAACACATGGCAAACATCAACTTCACGCAATTATAACTACTTATAATCAATAAAAACACTGTAGATACAACAGTAAAGAATGAAATAAAAGTAAACCTTAAGACTGCTAGATAAACAGGATCAAATTATAATTTTAAAAGCTCACTGTGTTGCATGAATCAACAATTTACAAAATTAGATTCGGTTGCGTCTTTCTTTGTGTAAATACATTCTTCCTGTGTTTAACATTTGCTTATTTTTCAAATTTCCTTACTATTAAAAGAAATGGTTTGTTGTATACAACTGTCAACATTTTACTAGACACACAGAAATTAGTCAAAAGTGGCGTCGGCAAGAAGGGCGTCCCTATATAAATTTTCACAGATTCTCATTTTTTCATTAGACAAGTATGCTATTTCACCTCTACCATACCTTTGAACAGGTTTAGCTTTCCTTTACCATGCACTTTATTGCCAATAGTTAGAAAGCTGGTATATAAATTTAGATAGGATTTCTCATGCATGTTTAGTCATACTTTATCGACATGCTGCTTTAGCTAATTTGTTATGTCTGTAGTGTAATTCTAAAATATCGCTTAATTTTTGTAAAATTACTTCCGCTTTAGAAGTAAGACGACCGTGTGAACAAAATTATGCTTGCTTTAGTTCTTTACATGTCACATACTCAACAAACGGATGAGAGATATAATATAAACAACGCGAACACATACATCATCAGTTTAAAAATGGTGATGAGAGTTGATAACTTATTGTAACATCAATCTTTTATCGTTATGAGTTTTGTTACATAAACACATTTGAATAACGAAGGAAGATGAAGAGTGAGTCAGGATCTCCTTCAAAAAACAGTATTAAAGCACATTAATGACGTCTATGTAGAACATTCTAGTTATATAACTAAGTATACATCACTAACTAAAAATAATTGTTATTGAAATAAAAATACATAAATAAGAACCTCATGCAGAGAACATAATAACATTGAGATTAGTCTAATTTAAAAGGACTACTGCTAAATCTTATAAAGTTTTACAAGTTTTATTTCAGGAATAGAGAATCACTTATCTAAGAGAGGATTTGAATGCCAATGATTAAGACACAATTTTAGAAACTGTGAATGGATTTTTGCCTTCATTAATCAAAAATTCCATATATGTATATTCTTGAATAAATCAGTTCTTAATATAAAAAATCTTTGTTATTGAATAAACCATTGTAAATTATGAACACATTTCAAACATCAACTTCACGCAATTATAATTACTTATGATCAATAAAAACACTGTAGATACAACAATAAAGGATGAAATAAAAGTAAACCTTAAGACTGCTAGATAAACAGGATCAAATTATAATTTTAAAAGCTCACTGTGTTGCATAAATCAACAATTTACAAAAATAGATTCGGTTGCGTCTTTCTTTGTGTAAATACATTCTTCCTGTGTTTAACATTTGCTTATTTTTCAAATTTCCTTACTATTAAAAGAAATGGTTTGTTGTATACAACTATCAACATTTTGCTAGACACACAGAATTAGTCAAAAGTGGCGTCGGCAAGAAGGAGGAAATGCATGATTGGACAAGTGCCCTCCTACATAAATTTTCACAGATTCTCATTTTTCATTAGACAAGTATGCTATTTCACCTCTCCCATACCTTTGAACAGGTTTTGCTTTCTTTACCATGCACTTTATTGCCAATAGTTAGAAAGCTGGTATATAAATTTAGATATGATTTCTCATGCATGTTTAGTCATACTTTATCGACATGCTGCTTTAGCTAATTTGTTATGTCTGTAGTGTAATTCTAAAATATCGCTTAATTTTTGTAAAATTACTTCCGCTTTAGAAGTAAGACGACCGTGTGAACAAAATTATGCTTGCTTTAGTTCTTTACATGTCACATACTCAACAAACGGATGAGAGATATAATATAAACAACGCGAACACATACATCATCAGATTAAAAATGGTGATGAGAGTTGATAACTTATTGTAACATCAATCTTTTATCGTTATGAGTTTTGTTACATAAACACATTT